AAATTTTTTCTTGCGAAATGTGGTTATATTATTTACTCTAGTGGACTTTTGTGACATTAGACATATTGTGGGAACCTGTAAAATATTCCGAGTTCTCGGCTTTTCGTGATATACAATACATGGAAGCATAATTTACACTCGTTTGATCAGCTGTTTGACCACACGTTTTCTCGCGTAGACAGGCCTCATTTCACTGCTTATTTTATGACTTTGTATGAATTGCCCAAGGAAAAGGTGAGAACTCGGAACTTTTTACAAGTATGTTGAAGTGATTTCGAGTGCTGTTTGTCAAGAATATCTTTTTACTTAGATATGGCACGCAAGAATTCTTGACGTGCCGTTTCTCGCTTCTGACGTCATAAAACCAATATGGCCGCGGCGAGGGGCCAGGAGCCTTAATCAAAAGCATAAACTCTGTTATAAAGCAGAGAATAGTTCATGTATGATTTTCTCTGCTTTAATCATATACACTATCTTATAAAACTTAATAATTACCTTTTTATACGGATTAGAATTTAGATCTAACTGTACATACGATTACGACATTCTCGTCATACATGAACTATTCTCTATTTTATAACAGAGTTTATACTTTTTATTAAAGCAGAGAAAAGCATGAACAATTCTCAGAGAATTTTCTCAAAGAAAAATATGAACAATTCTCTGCTTTATAACAGTTTATGCTTTTGATTAATGCCCAATTTTTTCACCTCCAGTTAACTTTATCTGCCAGTTATTCTATTGGAATTGACTAATCATATTTATGGTTGGCAAGATTAACCAATCACGGTTGACATTTATCCGACAGATAAAGTTAACCGGAGGTGAAGAAATTGGGCATAAAGCAGAGAAAAGCATGTATGAACTATTCTTTGCCTTTTCTACTTACTGGCATCATAAAACATAAAAATAAAAAAACAAGAAAACGAAAAGTGAGCGACAATTTTTGTTTTCAGAAATCAATTCTACGCATGAAAATATACAACTTTACAAAGTTAAAAAAAAAATCCAAGATGGGGGCGTTATACTACATATTTATCGATGTGTGTCCCTTACCCAGATAGCCAAACCTGTGCGAGCAGATTTTACGCAGAGTCTGTCAACAGTATCTGTTGACAGAATGGCAACAGACTGCACACAGAAACTGTTTTAGCAGTCTCTGACGACAGATTGGTGACAGACTGCGCGCAGAGCCTGTCGACAGATTCTGACGACAGACTGACGGCAGATTGCGCGCAGATTCTGTTTCCTAGATAGGCTATTTAATTCTATTAAGGGCCATATGTACGTTATTAAATGGGGCAGTTTCACATACACACCATGCTGCAGAGAAGTCAAGATAATTATATTGTGCAATAATTGTACACATATACACAATAAAAAACAATGTTTATATTTTAAAATTGTATTACACATTTTTTATAAAAAAACAACAATAATAGAGAAATAACGAGTACAAGTATAGAATAGTACAACGGTTAAATGGCCATTTAAAGGCGTACACATGTCATTCCTGGTAAAAATTGTTCTCATAATTTTTCATACAATTTCTCATCTTATTATTTTTTTAAATGTTGTTATGTCATTAAATCCGATTTAACCGTCATGCAATAAGTATTGAAGGCAGCAGCACCGAATAAAATATTAGTCTCGCTATGTAAATAACTTTTACAGAATTTTTTTGATGGTTTATTTAAAAATATATCATGCTTCGATTTTGATAAAACTTAATACAATCTGAACGGGACGATCGACCAAATTAATTCGCACATGTAAAAGTACAGTATTTTATTAACATGATAGAAAAATGTCATTATCTGCTGTTTTATTGCAGTAATTTTCTATACATTCCTTGGTAGAAAATTAATTTCGAATTATCGTACCAGTCTCTCTTACATTATTTATACGCTAAACGGTTTCGTCTATATTTTGCGGCTTAAAAGGCGAACAAACTATAATATTTTTCTTCCTTAAACTTTAAATAGACAATACAAAGCGCTTTTTATCAAGTGAGGAATTGGCGTAGTGCCTAAGGCGACGGACGATTATCCAAAAGATGTCTTCAGTTCAAGTTCCGAATCTCACTAGAGAAAATATTAAAAATTATGAAAAAATAATGTAGAAAAATTTTTTTTGTCATAGTATTTTATGAGTATTTATGAGAAAGCGCTTATTCTATGAGTAATTATGAAAAATTATGAGAAAATTTAATTGAAGAACCTACGAAACGGCAGGATCTGCGCGCAATCTGCAGCCAATCTGCCGTCATAGTCTGTCGACAGGCTCTGCGCGCAATCTGCCGCCAGTCTGTCGTCAGAGTCTGTTCGCAGATCCTGTCAACAGTCTGGCGGCAGATTGGGGACGCAGATGTCTATGGATCAGTCGACAAATCCTGCTCGGATTCGACAGATCCTATCGACAGTCTGACGTCAGTCTGCGCGCAGATTGCTTACTGGGTTATACCCAGATAGCCAAACCTGCGCGAACAGATTTTGAGCAGAGCTTGCTATCAACTTTTGATGGCAAATAGATAATAAATTGGATGCAGGATCTGTTATATCAAATCTTGCTGCCAAATTGCCGCCAGATATGCGGCAGAGCTTGTTGTCGGAAAATTGCTGTAGATTTGCAGCAAAAA